TCCGAGGAAGGCTGATTAATTGGTTCCAACAAATGTTACAACAGCAAAACAAAGCCATTACAACTCGCTCACATGCCTTAGTGTGACAGAAACCATTAGCATGAAAAAGGATTTTTCTCCCCATTTAATCACACAATGAGAGTTTTTCAGACATATTTGACAGGTATTGTTCTGCTTCCAAAGCCTCCTTCAGAGCATGGTGATATCCAGTTCTCCCTGAGCTACAATGACTACCTGGGCCGTCTCACTGTGGTGGTTCTGAGGGCAAGGGGATTAAAGCTCCAGGAGGAGAGCCCTGCTGTTGGTAAGTTGGATTTCTTCCCTGCTATCAGCTCCAAAATTCCTGTTTTAATTTGCTCCTTCCTCATCTGTCCAGCCAAGCTTGTGCTGTGGGACTCTGAACAGGAACAAATAAACATCCTGGTGATTTGAGTGGACACAAGCCATATTTTACCATAAGGCAATTAGATTTTGATAGCTTAGTTTTGCTATGTTTGGGGTTTGTTTCATAATAAATGGTTTGTCCTGTGGCAATTAGTGGTAACTTTTTTCTCCTGTTTTAGTACAGTGAGTAACATCATTTTGCTGCTCTCCAGCCCAGAGAAGGCAGCATTTCAGCATTCAATCAATTGACATTAACAGTTCCCTCAAGTCAAATTCCCAGAGGTAACAGCTTCAGGATAACTGCTTATGCTGAACAGCTGTCCTGGGAGGAACTGAGTTGGGAGAAAAAATCCCAGTTTAGGACAGCCTGGCTATTGTTCAAAAGACCATGGCATGGAGTCACGATTTTCTCTCTTAGTGCAGAGTGCTTTTTCAGGTACATCATACTCCTGTGTCCTTGGTCTCAGAGATTACCTCAAAATGCTGTTTAAAATCCAACACTCAAAGCAAAAACAGATGAAGAACCATACTTGTATTTCAGTCTGTAGTGATTTCTTGCAGGGCTTTGAAGCTAAACAATATAAATGCAAAATACACCTACTATTTAAAAAGAAAAGATGTTTAGTCCTCTATATACACACATCAACTATGAACAAATTAAGTCTTCAAAAAAGTCTCCATCAGATGAAGGGAAGGCACAGAAACATAAGATCAAGGATGTAGGGTAAGAATATGGCTGCTTATTTTAACAGCACTTAAATTGGAAAGTGCATTCCAAAACTGCACCCCCAGTACTTCGTGTACTCCCTTTATGTCATGGTATCATGTGTGTTCCACGAATCTTTCACAATCTGATGTTGAACTTGATATTGACTCCCAAAAGGAAGGAATTCCTTAAACCATCCCCCAACTGCTTCTTGAAGATGTCTTTTAGTCTTGAATTTCTTTTTCTCTAAGGTGTGTATGTCAAAGTCTCACTAATGAACCATAATAAATTCATCAAAAGTAAAAAGACAGCAGCTCTTCTGGGAACTCCCAATCCTGTGTACAATGAAACCTTCAGTTTCAAGGTAGATCAGACAGAGATGGATACAGCAAGCCTGAGTCTATCTGTGCTCCAGAGTAACAAAGGAGAAAGTAAGTTATATAAATTATTACAGTCATATAAATTATTACAGTCATATAAATTATTACAGTCAAGGTGTCAAATCTCTTACGTATTTGAGACATGTTTAAATCTGAGGAAGTAAATCCTTTTCTGCAATAATCATAAAACACGTTAAGAGTTTTGGGGTATTTCAAAGGCTCTTTAAAAGCAGAACAACTTATTTGTAGTTAAGCATATGTCTGTCTTTCAGAGGCTAAATTTCATGGAAGACATTAATAAAATCACTGTAGACTAGTCAATGCCAGTACAAGGTGCTGTGCCTTTGTTTCATTCCAGTGTCCTATTAAAAGGAGCTTGTGTGAACACTTTTGTGTGTAACACACAACCTCCAAATTCTGTGGCCACTCACTCTTTCTACACAAATTTGAAAGAGGAATAGGAATTTTAATTCTCTCAGCAGTGAGAAGAAAGAGAATATCAAACATCCCCATTCCCTGGCAGAAAACCTGATGCTTGAGGCCACCTCTTACTAATTGTTAGAGAATCCATTAAGGAGTTCTGCTTACAGAAGCAAATCAGAATTCAGTATTTCAACTGTTCACAAGAGAAACATCTTCCCTGCAGTGCAAATATGATCTCAATAATTTTCCCCATTCATAGCTGAAAAGTCCAGGCATAAATAAACAATCTCTGCTCCTTGGCAGTGGGAACACACATATTTACAGCTCCCAGCTGTCTCAGTAATTGCATTTATTTTTTGTTAAGCCAGAGCATCTTATGAATTCTGAGGTCGCTGATGCTCAAAATTAAGGCAGGTTTCCACAGTAAACCTGAGGTAAAGGAGCAGGGCAGCTACAGATATCTGTGACTTGAAGATGCTTCAGTTTAACTGCAGGAAAAAGGACAGGCCTGCATTGACTAAACACCCACTTACTGCCATACCTTTTAATGCTGAATCTCAGCAGGTAGAAGCTATAGAATCTGAAGTCCAGAGTTATTTCCTTAAGGAATATTTTGGTTTAAAAATACCTTTCAGAACAGGCATTACATGGAGAAATACAGGTTAATATTCTAATTTAGGCAGGGATTTCAGAGAAGCACCACAGGTGTTTATCACTAACTGCTTTCTTTTTTTCTCAGAAACGCTTCTGCTGGGACGAGTGGTAGTTGGGCCTTTCATGTACACACGTGGCAAAGAACTGGAGCACTGGAACGAGATGATCAGCAAGCCCAAGGAGCTGGTGAAACGATGGCATGCTCTCTGCCACAGCACGTGAGGAGCACTCAGAAAAAAACAACCTTAACATGGAAAAGCTCTTACTATCTTTCTCATATAAAGGGTACAAAACTCTTTGCTAAGATTTTGTACCTGAAGTAGAAAAGAATAAATAAATTATTTCTTTGACCAAACACAGATAAAGACTTGGTCCCTGGTAGGCTGGGAGTCTCTTTTTCCTCTCTTCAAAATAAATGTTAAATTTCATTAACATGCAGTTGAGCAAACAAAACAGCCAAACATGACTTCTCAGTATTAATTATTTTGACTAGTACATTCCACTTCTGGGTCATGAGTTCTGGGCACAAATGATCACACATCACAGACAGAGCCCAAAACGACCCAAGCATTGCAAAGCCTATCTGTCCACTGCTCTAGATCACCACAGTGTCTTCACCAAAGGGGAGAGAAGCCCAGTGATCATGCCAAAACAGACAAAGCCCACAAGATATTGACTAATACACGTAGAACTTCTTTAAAATAGCAGCATTAGATTTAAAACCTCTTTTGAACAGGAAGGGTGAAGGCACTGCTTACTGGCCACACACCTAGAAGCAGCTGTTCACATCCCTCAGCATGGTGTATTTCCTGCACTTGGTTCAATGTTTTCAGCTGGCCCCAAGTACAGCACTTTGTGTTACACTAAGGGACAAGCAGAGAAGTCAGTCACAAGTAACTGGAGGCTGTTCCAGTACTGGAATACTGCAATACTCTGAGACAGTAAGATGAGAACCTGTCCTGTCCTTTTATATTTCTCTCTGAACACATCTCTGCTGGAGACAGAGCATTGATTACAAGAGCCTTGGGTTTGACCTAGTATGACCATTCATACTCTGAAAAGCCAATTAGCTTAAGCCCCCTGGGCATGTGTCTGTTTTAGTAGTAGAGTCTTCTTCATTAAGTAAATTACTGCTCTGTAAAGCAATTCAGAGCAATTATTCCTAATCAAAATAAAATAGGACATTTTTTCTCTTCTTGATTGTTCACTGGGGACCCGAGATCTCTACCCTTCTCACTTTACAATCATAAACCAGACACACAGACTACAGCAGTGAAACATTTTGCAAAATCGTATTCCATAACCTCTACAGTTGAAATCAAACCAACTTCCTTTCAAACAGGATATGGTATTAATTAATTCCAAATCTTAAAAAAATAAGCTTCTCTAGGGATATGAAACCACTTTCCATTTTGATAATACTGCTATTACCTAAAGGAAATATTATGAATGAGAAGATACCACAAAGGAACTGTAAGATAACAGACCTCCTGATCCACCATATGTTCCATGGTACCCTCAGTCTGTCTTGCTAATTACACCACTGGATACAAAATGAGCCTAAATTAATGACATTAAACTGAATTTGACAGAGTGCTCATTATATTTCTGCTAAAGGAGTAATACCAGCAACTCAACCCCAAAGAGTTGTATTCAAATTTCAGCCCCACAAAACTACTTCAAATCAATCTGATAAGCAAAGTTACCATGTTTGTTCTGGGAAGAAAAACTACACAGGTATTATATAGTTTACATATTACTAGATTAAAATCATTTTACCAAATAAATGTTGTCTTTTATTATTTCAATCATACCAATAAAGATCCTAAAAGTAAGCTGTTAGTAGTGTTTCAGACAGTTGGTTTATGAGCTTGTGCAGAAGGCACATGCCATGCCCAGTGTCTGTTAACAAATACCTCTAAAGTGGGAAGTCACCTGTCTGACTTGATGTACAGTATGGTCCTCTTTTCTTCTTACACATTAAAGTAACAATACTTCCAGCTTGTGTGCTCAGTAATTTCAGCTAAATTGTGAAGAAACATATTCTAATGCACTTACCAATGTACTTGTACTCATGGTGATCCAAGTGGAGCAAATGACAAAGGCCCTTTTCGACTCTTCCTGAAAAAGAGCTATTTGAAAGCAAGAAACCTAATAAAATAAGGAGTTCTAATACAGTGTTTCTAAGTGTCAGGTAATGAGCAAATTTTTTTACCTACTGCCTTTTATATAACACTCATCTGATCTTGTGCTGGAGACTTACCTTGAGCTGAAGAGGTGGAATGATTACAAGACAGTTCTGTTTTACAACAGAAAAGAGCAGCAGCAATTGCTGAGGGTAAATGGCAAAAATTCTACTGTTAAAAGAAGGAAAGCAACCACAACAGCAAAACAAAAACAGCAAGCCACAAATAGCATATGGGATAAGACAAACAAAAATTGTATAACTAAAATATTACTGAATTCTGTCTGTCTTCCTCTAATATGCCAGGTCTAAGGAAAATTCAGTCTCTCAATAGTAGTGAACTTTACTGTGGAGAAAAAGGAAAACAGATACAGAAGAAATTTTGGAGTTTATTAACATAAAAATACATGTATAAAAATATACTTTATGAAAATCCATCAGTATTATTCCAGCAGTATATACTATTAGTAGATATTTCATACCAGTCCTTTTGATAGTTTTGCTTTTTTCATAAGTTAAACCCAAAATCCTTTATTATAATTTAAGAGATTTGCTTTCTTCATTTGCAAAATGAGCGAAGTAATTTTGTTTCTGCTTCCCATCTGTATGTCCTTATGGTCTTTTTACTCAGTGCAGAGGTCAAAGATCATGATGAAAATTTAGCAGATGGAAATCCATTTGCAAAGGATAGCTGTTCTCATCTAGCACAAAGTGGCTTCTGATTTCCAACAAATAGGATGCTTCTGTATCTGTCAGCAGTGCATGACACAGATCTGCTACTATTGCACTGTAGGTTATATCTGAAGAGGGCACTGCAAAACACAAAACATTTCAACTTACACTTGATTTTCACAATAGCACCTAACATTCAAGTTCTACCCCCATGAATCTCCACTGAATTACTGGAAGCGAAGTTCAACATTTGAACAGAAAATTAGCTTTTATTTTTAATTACTTTTTAAAAACAATGAGCTGAGCCTGTTTCTCATTAAACTGCTAACACCTATGAATCACATAAACCACCTCTGAAGTCAAACAGGATGTATCAAGTGAAGCTTGTCTGAAACACAGCTCAATGTTTCATACCATGAAAACATGCCAGCTACTTCTAAAAGTTCCTAAGAGATGCTATTTTACACAGAAGGAATCCATTTAGCTGTTGAATATTTAGGTATATAACTACAATTATTTAGTTATATACTAGGTATTCATACCATCTCACCTTCTGTTGTTGCAGCCTCTCCTCTGAAATTCTGAATTTGTCAGACAGCCACTGAAATATTCTTTGATGTTGGTTGTTTAGGGTTTTTTTTAAACTGTCAATGATTAAAAATTTTACTTCCATTGTGAACCTTTCTGCCTGTTTCTATCACAAGTAATTCATGAATCAGTACCTACTAATCTCTTCAGCCAGTCTGCAGGAATATTGAGGAAGATTTTTTCCACCAACTCAGACACCACATGAACATAAATTTCATATCCTTCATCTTCTACTGTCATCAAAGCAGGTCTAGATCAGAAAACAGGGTTTCATGAAAGTTAGCTGCTATGCTTTGTTTTTTATTGAAGCAAAATTTTAGAAAGCACTACAGTTTAATCTTACTCTGCAATATAATATCAAGAAATAGAAAAAATGAGAAAATCTCTAGGTAGTCATCTGTCAAATCTGTAGCATTGGAATCAGTTTGAGGACTATATAAGGAAATGGCCTTAAACTGAGACAGGAGACTCAGATTAGACATTAGAAGGAAATTTTTCACTATTAGGATGGTTAGGATTGCCCATGGAGGTGGTGGAAATGCAAAGCAGGGAGATAAGCTTACGTGTATCACTTGGAATTATACCATCTGTATCAATATCACTCAATATTATCTGTCTTAATACATCACTTTATAGCCACATAATAGCAAGGTATATCTCTTGCAGTGTAATAAATACCAAATGTTTTCCCAAACCACTGAACAAATAAAAATCCCCCCTTAGAAATACTCCCAAGGTGATGCATTCTTACTAAAATGATCAGAAGAAAATTTTAGTGCAATAATGTCAGGCTTTTCTCTGAAAAAAAATGGACATGTAAATTCTACATATGGATGTGTTCCCATGCTGAGAATACAAACATTGGAAATCTTTATCATTTTTCTACCCCCTTTTGTGCAGGAGCAAATTGAGGTCATTCATGCCCACTGAGAAAAACCTCTTTGCACTTCATCCTCCCTCATAGGAAAACAAATAGCAGATAAAGATGCAAGACTATTTTGCTTAGAGGAAAAATACTATGTCACTACATGGTTAGATAAATAAGATATTTAAGTCATATTTCATTAAGTAATAGTATTTAAGTCAATGATTCATAAAGCTCATTATGAAAGAGTTTAGACAGAATTTGAGAAAAAATTTAGACACAAAATTTACATATTCTAGAATTCTATTACATCCATGGCTGACTCAACAGACATTCTCTAGCTACATGTCTTTCAAGTCACTATGATAATTACATTTCAAAAGCCCAAGATAAATGTGAGAATTGAACAATTAGTTAATAAAGATGTACCTACATCAACTGGATCCACTTAGACAAAAAAAAACTAGGTGTGAACATGTGTCTCACAGTGCCATCTGGTGACAACTCACTATCTCTGATCTCCGAGAATGTTTATAGAAAACATTTGTCAATATTATTTCTGCACAGCTGAAACTGACTAATCCGTTTAAAAACATGGTTCTGCATTCACGGCATTTAAGGTTTAGGCTGGAACAAGATTCTCGAGGAGTTTTCCTTTGGTCCTCATGCTTTACACCATCATAGCTTTATCTGACACAGTATTGGGTAAACATCATTCCTGCATGATATAGTATTCAAAGAAATTTAAAAGTTAGATTTAAACTAAGAATATCATGTATAAATAATGACAATATAATACAGCAATTCAAGAACAACAACTTGAAAATTCATTAGAGAGATGGGGATTGCTAAACACACCTTAAAGAATTTTAGATATGGGGGAAATTATAATGGAGAAAGTTTACCCCTCTAATAATACACATTACTTTAGCTCTATTTTGTTTACCTGTAGAATGTTTTTACTTTGCTGTATGGCAAACATCTAATACATTGCTTGTAGATCATGTTCTCATCTGCCTCTAGCTCCAAACCACATTTGGCACAACCTGCATATGTAATCATAGGCAGAGAAGCCAAAACACATTCCAGTGAAGTGTCAGCAGAGAAGATAAGTTGTTTGTACTGACCAGTGGAAATGGTAAATTTCAATTCCAAGATATGGGCTTTCACTTGAATCACTCCTACAAAAAAAATCAAATCTGAATTAATTTTTATTTAGAACTGAAAGCAAAATCAATGCCCCTTTGTTAATACATGCTCAAAATTGTAGATATTTTATTCAGTGAAAAATCATGGTGGTTAAATATTATTTTAAAAACGTATAGAAGTACTACATTTTCAGGTACTATATCAGTAGATGCCACTATAGAAGGCGTCTGAATAAGAGATCAAAATTGTGCAAAGAATTCCCAAGTGATTTTCTTCCCACTGTTTCAAAGACACTGAAAAGCACAGCTTTAACAACTTAGCTTTTCACTATTTATATATAAAGTAGAATTAAATACTGCAAGAACAATTTTAATCACTTCCTAGAATTTAACACAAACCATAGCAATCTTCCAGGTTTATCTGGGAGAGTATGACTGTGTAAAATGTCTTCTTTGTAAGAAGTTTTCAATAGCAGTAGCTATTTTACTCTTGCTTTAGAGATTTCCAGTTTTTGAGAAACACTGATAAACTTTCAGTAATTAGTCACATTATTAGACTGGTTGGTGTGGACAAAGGTCAGCATTTCCCTCTGTGTTCCAAAGCTGTGTTTGCATGGCACCACACATCACACCTAACTCTCCCTTGGGCTCATGGGATGAAGGCTGCATTAAGTTTGGCCAAATACAGAGCAGCAACCTCCAGAATAAATTCAGAAACAGACCTGGGCTACCTTAAAAAAAACAAACTATCTTATTTCATCATCAGAGAATCTATTTTGCCTACTTATGCAGAAATTACACAGCTATGGATAACATTTACCTGAGCATTTCTCTTCCAGGTGTGCTGAGAGCCTTGTCAACTCCATGAGGGTTGTTTGACTTTTCTGAAACTTTTCTTTAAATTCAACTGCTCTTTTGTCATCATCAAACAAGCACTCATAGGATGACCACGGAGTTGTGTGCAGTTCCAAGTCACCTGAGACAGAACTACTTCGGACCAAAAGGAATTTGAAGTCCCATATGTGGTCTACAGAACAAAAAAGCAAACAGAAGAGTTTACTTTCTATACCATGGTTAATTCATAGGAAGCCAAGGTCACTTACAAGACTGAGAAACAAATCAGAAGACATTCTCATATGGTCAGCTCTGGCAACTTCATTTCAAGTGTGATGACATGTAAGGTTTTTCCTTTCCCTATAAACTTTGCATGAGTTGTCCCATAACAGAAATTTCATTTCATCTCTACCAAATTCAGCCTTTTGAAAAAGAAACCAGCTCTGAAATTTGTTGTCAGCTCTAATCCTGGCAATGTCTCAGAGAAAAAAATGTTCATGTTATTAATCAACTTCCATTTTTTAAACTGTTTTTTAAACTTCTATCTCCAAAATTATCAATTTAACTTAAACCTAGTTTAACTTATCTTAAAAGAACAAGATTAGGAATAAATCAAAATTTGGTAGTAGTCACTGCTGAAACACAGTCTATGTAATTCTTGCAAGAGATGATTTTACTTAGTTACAGCTGGACTTGATCTCAAGACCATCAGGATATAAAGCCTGACACGAGTAACGTGGGAAGAAGAAAATGAAAATAGGAGTCGAAAGAACCCAGCAATTCATGCTAAACCAGACAATGATAAAGAAGACCCAGGAAAACTGCTAACACAGTTAACAATCACGGATTTTTTTATAGTTACATAACCAGGCACTATGCAAATAAGTGCATCTTGTATATAGATTCAAATTTTTAAATATTTATGCCTTCTCAGTCTTCTAACGTGCATTCAAATTCTGCTGCTGATGGCATTGCTTCTAAACAGAGATGTTAGAATGAGTGTAAAATATGTTACCCCTCCAAGGGAAGTGTTTAAAGGTTGAATGGATAAATGTTACCAGTTGAATACTTAAAAGGCACTAACAGCTTCACAAAAATCCTTTCACACCTACCAATAGGTATAAGGACCTTACCTTTTTTCCTCTGAAGCTGGGGGCACCAGGCAGCCCCTGCTCCCCACAGAACCATCCTATAGTGTTGATCTCTGTTCTGTTCTACTGTTAGAATAATTTTTCTTTGATTGCCACCTCTGTAGCTGTACACAGATTCTGAAAAGAATTGAAATTACATTACTTCTACAGTAAAAAGCATATAAGCACACAAACCCCATGTGCCTCAGTATTAGAGTGAAATCACGATGTTATCACATTTTATGCTACAATTTAGAGCAAAGAAGAATACATCTACAATTTTTTTCTGGACAGAAAATAATCTGATGTCTTCTGTAACAGGAATTTAGTTTGAGGGAGTGCATGAAGTGTGTTAATTTACTTTTATCCATCTAAGTACTCAGTAATTGGCTAAGTCCCTTTGAAGAAGGAGGTATCTGAGCATCTTTCAGCTCCCAATCATCCTGACTTGAATAGAAAGAAATTATACTCAATGTCTCAGCAACTGTTTTAAGTAGAAGTTCCCGTAATTCTGTAGAATACAGTGGAAGAAACATTTCTCTAGAAGTTTTCACACAAAAGAAAACCATAGTCATGTAAAAGGAACACAAAAACTATTAGTAACAGTACATACAAATGGCAACAATTAACATCTCTACACCACTATTATCCAGGACACTGCATGTTTGTTTCAATTCCACACTGAAACTATAGCATTTTTTCATAAATAATTTTTGAACAAGAACATCTGGATGGAATATCTAGTTCTAAGATTTACTAGAGCAAATTCTGCATTTAAAACTATGATATTGATGATGTGGGTAGAAATTTGTATCTTACTAATTCAAGATACTAGTACAATGTGATCAAATTTTTGTGCAAAGCTTTAAGTCAAGCAGTGAGAAATATTTTGCCTTGCAAGATTACTATTTAAGTTCCACCTATTGCAGAGGTTGAAGTTCAGTGCATGAACTTACCTGTTAACACAGAAATATTGACAATTTTCAGGATTGAGTGCACCAAAGTATTTGGCTGGAGCTGATCTAGCTGCACATACTGAACATCATCCAGTCTCTGAACTTGTCTTTGTGGAATGTCTCTGAAGTGTGGAAATTCTGATGATATGTATGCCAATAAGCCATGGAGAACATCACCATCCACTAGAGGATAAACTTACATGGAAAGAAGGCAAAGTCACACACTGTTTTCTATGCTTAGAAGTATAAAACTTATGACTTGGAACACTTTTACACTGACAAAATCAAAACAGTTTAAGAATAATTTTAAAGTAAGAAGACCCTGAGATATATAACACTTGATCTGAAATTAAACTGTACTTCAGGGTAGTATCAAGAGGAGGCACATAAAGTTAAGCTAAGTGCAATACTTTAAAACACACCCAAAAAATCTTGTATCATAGCTTGGTAGGAAGAAAGCTGCTCTTCATCATTGACCTCAGAATCTGCCTAAAGAGCTGGCATCACAATAGTGGACACCACAATGACAGTAAGAACAGTGGTGATACTTCCACGGTATTTTCCCCTCAGTCTCCAATGCTCCATGGCATGTAATTAATCATTTTCCCTGAATGGATCTACTTACTCCCTTTTGCAAATTTAATCCTCATGAAATCTCACACATTACACTGGGACACTGGGGTCTTGCTCTTTCCTAAACTAAACTTTTTTTTTTTTAGACTTCAGAGTGGTAGCCACCAAACTTTACCACGATCTCCACATGCCTGTCTAAAGTCATGTCCACATCTTGTGCTCATACCTTTTGTACCTTGCACACATTTCCATTTTATCCCATGTGTGAGGCATTGCCAACAAAATTGAGTACTTGAAATAGCTCTTTTACTGTGATTTTCATGGCAACTTATGCACTACAATCTTACATTCTTCTGGATTGAGAGCTGAGCAGTTTCCCAGATTCAGTAACTGACTGGTAAATGTAGACTGAAGCATGACCTCTCTACACCAAGGATTCTCATTCATTATCATATCTGCAAGAAAAAAGCAACCTTATCAACTCATGTGTTGACAATATTGAAGTGCATCATATTTTTCTTGACTATATAACCATCTTACATACAGATGTGCAAGGCACAGGGTTTGAAAAAGATCACTTGGAAACACAGTGATTTTTTTTCTTAGTCTACCAACACTATTTACAATGAGTTAATAAAATTTTCTCATTAGTTTGATGTAATTCTTAAATTCATTAGCCTCCTAGCAGACACTGCTTAGGTCTGGTTTGTAGCAGCACTTGTACTTTTCAGGAACAATTGTTTTAAAACACTGACATCTTACAGAACATTCCTGACTCCCAATGGCTGAGTGTGAGAGCAGACTTCCACAGAATAGTCAATGTTTCACTGACAAGATGACTGAGAGCTCAAATGATGTAAGTGATGTAAGAAAGCAACTTACAAATGCTTAGGAATAGTTCCAAATTACTTGTTACATTCTTCTACTTTAAACATTTTTAAGTAGAATTTTAGAAATTTTAGTAGAATTTTTAGCCATTCTAAAGTTCTGTATTTTAAAAAAGGGCAAACAAAAGAACTCTCACCTGTAAGCAGTACAATATCCCCAGGAAACACAGTGAGGGACCAAAATGCAGCACCACGCCACAGCACCACCTTTCTCTCAATTTCTGACTGGTCAATAACAACAATTTTTGCTACAGGAATTTTACATGAAGATTTTGGTTTAGTCTTCATCTGTATTTCTTTGATATGACAAGGATGTACAACTGTGACCAAAATATTGTACTTTTGATCTTTGCTGCAGCAATTCTTAAGTAGTGATAGCTTCTTTTGGAGTTTCTTGAACTCTGTCATCCTGTCTGGATCCACTCTCACTCCAGAACCAGGTGGAGAAGAATTCAGTTTAGCTCTCTTGGATTTCAGCTGTCTTTTAAATGCCGAGTGAAAAAGACGAGAGGAATCTTCATTCTTGCGGGGTCTTTTAGAAGAGTTCTTGTGAGAACAGTTCCCTTGAGAGCACAGTATTCCAGAGCTCAATGGCTCAATATGGATTTCATTTACAAATTGCTCAACAGGAACATTAGGTTCTTGAAACTTTTCTGCATTTTCCTGAGTACTTTCTTCCTGTTTTGTAGCATTAATCCAAACGTTTTCCCCATCATCCTCAGAACTGAAAAGTTCAAGAGAACTTGTCTCCTCTTCCTTATACTCATTTTCAGTCACATTAGTAGTACACGTTCCAACACCAGAATCACATTGTAAGTGATCATACTGTCGTTCTTCAGCTTTTTTGCCTGCGTCTATTTCTGATAGTTTTGCAATTCTTTCCTGCATCTCATTCTGTGCAAGAACAGCCACCTGACTTGCAGTCACTACACTACGAAATTCAGTGTCTGCTGACACTGCAAAGTCATTTGGTTCTTTTGGTTTGGACTCCTGACTTTTTTGGAAAAACATATCCAAATATTGACTGAGATGTTCATGATGCTCATTTCTGTGACCTGCCTGAAGTCCCACAGACTTTAGATGGATGCTGACCTGCTCAGTACTGGCAACCAAAGCAGAAATGTCAGAGCTGTTCACTTCTAAAGGACTGGCTTTTCTCTCAGTGAGCTCTGGGCAGCAGGCACGTGATGGTTTCTCTTGTGCAGCTGATTCTGCACAGCTCCGGGGCAGGTGTTGATCTGCAGCCTGATTTACATCTGCAGGTGTAAATCTATCTTGGGATACTTGACAATCAGAGCGAGTTAAACTCGTGCTCTCTTTAGGTGTGCCGGTACAAGTTACTGCCCCAGGGGCAGCAGATGTCAAATCCTTTCCTTCTCTTCCCGGGAACCTGTCCTGCTGAGCACTGTCCCCACTTGCAGGGACTCCTGTGAGTGTGGAGCTTTCTGCCTGGGGCACTGAGGGGACAGCAGCACCCTGGACCTTGGCAGAAACAAACCCGTGGGGATCACACAAACAGTGCAGCTCTCTCCATTTCTCACCAGCAGCGCCTGAACTACTTTGCTCCAACCCCTCCAGTGGGCTTGGAATACTGGGTGCTCCCACAAAAATATGAATTTGAGGTCTTTTTGACATTTTTGACGGCTGTGTAAGTTTGACTTAAACTAATGTGGTTTATGCAATAAGCACAATAAATACTAGCAAATGCAAAAACAGATTTTACTTTTTCTTCACGGTTTTAAAAACATCTAAAATTCATGGGAGTATTTCATAGTTTAACTGATTAAAACACTACTTGACTACTTAAAGCCTATAAAAATAGACAAAATCTAAAAAAGGGAATTTTTTAGAAATATTTGACATTTCTTTGTGGCAAACTTACATAGAAAAATAAATTTACAGCAACACCTAATTTCTGATTCACAGAAACGCATTATAGTGAAGTTAGAATTAAGTTTAATTATCTACCTATTTATCTTCATTTATTATTGCTAATGAAACAGTCAAATGTGACTTCACTTGATTTTAACTCATCTGAAATGAATGTAAGAAATCTTCACAGCATGGTTAGGAGATCATTTCATCTCCCAGAAAATTACAGTTTCAATTAAATGATTAAAACAGTAGAGATAGTTAAAATTAAAGTTTGCTAGAAATGCAGTATTTTGCATGCTGTTTTGGCATGAAACTACTGTTTCAGGCTATTATGGATAAATTATTATATTATTTTATTTATTATTATTATTACTGATAAATTATTATAATTATTTAATAACCACTAAGAGGTCAGTAAAGCTTGAGCAGGCGATTCAGGATTTGCTTTAATTCATTTATGTAGCATCAAACTACTCAAGAAATCAATAGCTTTCCTAGCTAATTAAGCCCACCTACACAGCACACAAAAAGAAGACCTTTTATTTTTAAAAATTTCTGCTGTGTAATTATAATTTTAAAATATGCAGCAACAGCTGTAACTGTTCACAAAAATGCTGATTACAGCTACTTGTTTTGGGAGTGCGGTTGCTAATAGAAGTTGCTTCAATAAGCAATTCTGCAGATGTAGAGAACACCAGAAAAAATCTGAGAGCTAATCCAGCTGTAAAAAGAAGGAAAAGATGATTGAAACAAATGCAGCATTGAAAAATATGCAAACTTTTCATTTAGCACTAATTAAATTAGCAACCATTTTCCTAACAACCCCACTAGGGGTCGATAAATCTGCACATTCATAAGGTTCGTCGTGCAAAAACCATAAACATCCTGGAATGCTGATCTCTGGTACATCATTGCTGTCACTGGGAAAGCAATATACCATCACCAAAATTAGATAGGGCAAAATACAAAGAAAAACAAAACCCAGTGACTGGTATTGCTCACTTTTATGCTCATAACAAAATAAATGCCACTTAAAACATTGGAGTGTCCAAACTCCTGTACTTGGACATTTAAATTTAGTCCCAGAAAACGGTAACTTTCAAAGGACAATACCCAAAGCTGTGAAAGCATTGAGTTATATAAAGAATGGTAATATACAAATAACCAGAAGAACAGAATTTACAGTCAATGCTAAAGTAGTGGATCAGCTAAAGGAAAGACAAAGCAAAGTGATAGTGGAGTCCCTACAGAAATCATGTTAATGAGTTTTGCAGATAAAAGGCTACCTAATACATGATGTAAAAAGCTCAGTAACAGATCTGTGACAAATAAAAAAATGTTACTAACCAGTTCAAATGGTAACTTGATAAATGTCCAGTTATACAGACATTTTAATATAATTTATATAATTATAATTTATCAGCCCCTCATTTTAAGTATAACTTCTCTTTTGCTTTTTGTTTAAAGGTTTAAAGTTTAAGGTTTTTGTTTAAAGGTTTAGAAGTTACACAAATATTCAGAAAGTTGTCCTTAACTTTCCACTTCTGTAATTTCTCTAAACTTAGGATTTGCTTTCCTGATTCACATTTTGCAGTGCCAGTACATTCAAGGTTGGATGGGACCCTTAGCACCTGGTCTAGTGAAACGTGCCCATGGCAGGGGGTTTGGAACTTGATAATTTTGAAGAACCTTTTCAACCCAAGCTGTTCTATGATTCTATGATCTCACCAAAGGAACTGAATCTTGATGCTATTTAATGAATGCTTACAATTAAAATATAGTTTATATTTTCAAAACATAAATTACCTTAGGAATGGTAAGTGACCTCTGCCTACTTTCTGATTCGTGTAATAGGTCCACTGCTGAATGGCCTGCTTTGGCAATTTCCAAGTGACTTTTTGGTCAAAGACGTCAAACTCCTTCCTGTACTAGGAATCATCAGTACCTAAAATCATTTAAGTCTGTAAATCAGAAAGAAAAAAAGAATTAAAGTTTACCTAAATTCTCCGTATGCAAAACTGTTTAAAGAACCTTTGTTTTGCTGCTTTAGAACAGAATTATTACTCACTTAATGAGTTTTGTAAGTGAAGTTCTGCACCTTGTTATAAAGAAAAGCCTGAAAGAACAACTCACTACAAATTTTAAAAGGCGAGCAAAAAAAAATCAATCATTTTAGTAAAACTCTACTGCCACAAAAACAATCCCTTTTATACTGTAGTTAAATGATCTGTGGGCAGACGCTGGGTTAACTAACTACACCAAAGATAACAGGAGCTAAAACTCATAAAGACAGAGCTGAAACCTGAATGCACATATCCATTATACCTGTTAATAATTACACCATTTCCTAATTTGTGGAGAGGTGCTCTATTCCTAACAGCCAATGAAAGCCAAGCTTTTTATCTGTGAAATGGTCAGAGTCTGATTGACGGGTCAATGATCGATTAAAAAACAGTAACTACATCAGCAAGTTTTACAATTGCAAGACACTGCAATTGAAGTTTAATATACAGAAATATATTATGCTACATAGTGTATTTCCTCCACTCTAAACACTAAAACAGGAATTCTAAATTAAAAGGTTTTTAAAATAAACTGTCACTAAGAGCTTGTTGATCTCTAGTGATTTGCTGCACATAGAACAAAATTAAAAATAGCTTTAAAAATCCTCATCCCATAGTTACTCTAGAAATGTTCTGATGCTACATATATGACCTTAAAGAACCCCTAAAATACCCTAGAAATGCTCACTAATTTTATTCCATATTTTTCTACTCATTGATAGTATCCACTCACCAGGATAATCATTAAGCATTATGCCACAGTAATTTAAGAGGGTGACACAGCTTCAGCTTCCTATCATTCCTGAATATTCAGGGTAGCCACATGCCTCAATCTCTGTTTTGAGAATTTACATCCAAATAGTCCCATCAAGTCTTTACTTAAACCCTGTACACTAAAAGTAAACCACACTAATTCAATCTCCAGTTAAGAGTTCATGTCTGTTACAAAGTTTCAAGCTACAAATAAAATTACAGAAATAAAAGATAGCAATGCATCATAAGACAAAGCACTATAGCAATATAATGCAAAAGTGTACTTTCTCCTCTAGAAACACTAGAGTTTTAGGAGATATACAGTGTATTCTTTTAACTTCCTACTTTGATTTGCTCTAACTTGATGATGAACATCCTAAATGGTATGTGGTTAATTACTTGATCCCTAAAACATCCAAGAAAACATGATATTGTCCTTTACCTGCAGAAAAGCTGCCCCAGTAAGTAATAAATACATAAAGTAGGATATTCTTTAAATTCTAAATTTTAACTTCTATTATCAACTTTACCCTCCCTTATTCGCATACTGGACTTTATACTCCTCCTACATGTAGTATAAAAATTTAAAGAATTGATCAATCTACCTTACAACAGAAGAAACTGAATTATTCATAGCCATCTTCAGAGTATTTAGTTTCAGTTAAATTCAAGCTGTAGGGTTGTTTGGCTGGGCTCTTCTTTTTTGACAATTCAACCCATGTGATTGTGGAGTAGAAAATCTACTAAGACAGTTGCCAAACAAAGGAAAAACAGAAAAACTTCTTGATGCAGAATTCTGACTAAATCACAGGAAATCCTTCTGGCAGTTTCACATGCTGCTCAGATCTTCCTCCAAAATTCAACATGATCTTTTTAAAAAGCCAGGTACTGCAGGCTGTAGGCTAACTGCAAGCCAAAACAGCAAGGATATAGTAACAGTCTCATACACTTAGAGACTGAAACAGCCTCTGGGATGAAGTGATGACACATTACAGGTTTGATTGCAACCTGCACAAGCAAAAGAAGGGTGATCCTGCCAACAACTCCTGTGGCACTGCAAGAGAATCAATATACCAGCAACAGCACCATCTACTAAATCAATAAGTTTGGTCCAAACACACATTAAGAGGAGCACAATGGAAAATAAAAACAGACAGAAGAAGTAAATCTAAGCAACTTGTAGCTGAAGCAAACTTACTCTACATAAGAGTGAGAGATGTATCATGTGGGCTTAAAAGAAGATTATACGTGTAAGTGAATGGCAGCTCAAGGAGATTTACATGGATTGAATTAGCCAAGGCTAGTGGGACCTAACAGGAAGTCAAGGGAACACAGATATGGGAGAACATACACGTACACATGGGCAACTGGGGAAATGAATAGGATAGGCCTCACTTCTGTCATCAGCTGTTTGGTGATTGTTACAATCACCAAATACCTTTTATCTGAATTCTAATACAAAGTTCCAGGCAAAGATTGTAGTCCTGTCCATAACTTACCCATTTAACCAAACGCAATTTTACACCAGGATGGTTATTTGGCTCACATAACACCACGTCAGCACATAGAATACTGTGCACAGAGGCTGCTGTCAACCAGACCTGTGGTACAGCAAAAACCCTGCTCGTTGATATCAAAATTGCTGAAAAACACAAGCCTTTGTTTGCCTACAGCAGTATCTGTAATCATCATAAAGTTACTCCTAAATGAGGTACTCTAGGTTATTAGTGGCCATAAAATAACTTCTATTAGTGCCTACTACTGAAGCTAAATAGCAGCAATACTAATCCATGCAGTATTTAGTTCCTCTCACTGGCTATTACCAGAGGACTACAATTGAACCATTTGAACTCAAGATAGGTACAGCTGGTTTACAAGTACATAAAACCTGCATTCAGCAATACATAGCCATAAAACATGAGGCATCCATTTTTTTTTCCTTATTTGGAGCACTTTCAGTAAAAAGATGATTTTTAGAATACGGAACACCTATGGTTTAGGTATCACAATAGCAACCTTCCTAAATATTCCTGCAGCAGCAGGGAAATAATTTAAACTAGAAATCAGTGTTCTAAGCAGTTCCATAGCCTGACACTGTAAAAAAATGTTAAATCAAAATACTGAGAAAGAAAAGGCAAATTGTTCTTCATAACTATTACTGAACTATTAATATACAAAAAGAAGGCAAGCAATCAAATGGCATTGCTACTTGCCATTTAACGTGTACATACTTGCCTGCAGGGCCTGTGGTTTCTAAAGCTGGGCTCTAGAAGGAAAATATTTCCCTGGATCTCAAAAAAAGACATTTCTTCTATAAATACAAGCTTGGATCATAAAAACGCATCTACTGAACAGTTGCATTAGCAATTTTATTTTACCATTATTACTTTTTGGAACCAAATTATGCAAAAATCTGCACACTGATAGTACGCTTTCAATTCAGCCACTGAGATAGTCTTCATTGTGTTTGAAAATTAGAGTAAAGGTTTTAGGCTTTTGCGATTAACTTGGTAATTTTTTCCTCACTGCCTCTGTGCCTTTCAAGATGCCCCCTTAAGTAAATGCTATTTATTGATTTTTGTTTTGCAATACACAAAAACATATAATAAAGGAGATATGAGCATCCAGTGGCTGCTACAAACAAAAGAAGTTAAAAGTTCTAGAGAACACTGACCTTTTGAGTAGAAAAGAAAGATAAAGGTAAAAGGTCAAAGATACATAAACGTGCCATGCACATTTCATTGAAGAACACTCATTCCTCAAAGCCTTGTTTTTGAGAACTATTTAAACAACTAAACTACTATACCTTCTCTCAAGAAAGATATTGTTCCATATATTTCAGCATATTAAAATACCACACAATATTAGAATGGCATCATTGTGGCTTTTTTTTAGAAAAACTATTTAGTTTGCAGAAAATTTACCACAAGTATCATTACCAGTGAAAATCTATGTTGGGGCTGAAACATGAAAAAGAGGCAGATAAAACAATACAGGACCTAAGATGAAAGCAAGGTCAAAGAAACATCATAATAGCCTGATTTCCATCAGATTAACTGCCAGATTTATAAGGACCAGAAGATAAATATATATATAATAAGAAATATTTAAAATACAAAGCCATCAATATTATTTTCTCATCTTTACAAAAGCCTTTCTCAAAAAAGATGAAGCTTTATAATTAAAACCTGGATGCTGACTGCATGTTCATAGTTAAAAATGGGATATTGTCACTGTTTTGGACAACAGCCATAGATAAGACTGTCCTTTTGTTTTGTACTGGGGGAGACAGGATGCTGAAAAGATGTAATTCTTAAGTTTACCATGGAAAGTAATCTACTTTATTTTTTTACCATGTCAGTAATCTACTAGTGTCAGGAAAATGACACACAAGCGGTTATGATAGCAATAGACCTGAACTGAAGCTACATTTCCTCTTGCCCTTAAGTGGGATACTTCTCATTTGTCAGCATCACTAAACACTCACTCCAAGATGTCATATTGGAGCACACAAGTCATCACTAGATCAAGTCATGTTCCAAGGCTGTTCAAAACTACAAACTACACACAGAGCTCCAGAAGAAGCCAGGTGGCACACAAGCCCACTAGACACCTTTAGACCAACAGCTCAATCATGACTTCATTTACTTCATCACTGTTTATACAGGATCCCTCCAAAAGAGCAAACATTAAACCTTCCTGCAAACATAAACGGCAACAAATACTTCTTGTCAGCACTGAACCTATGGTGCCAGTCGTATCTATTGCCTCCCCACCCCAAGCCACACTGTGCACATTTTATCTGTTCCTCTAGTGTGCAACTACATCCTTTCTGTGGTAGCAATAGAGCATTTCTGTGAGGTTCAAAGGAGCTGGCAATCCAATGCCATCAATAGCTGAGCTCCTCAGTACTTTCAAATCTCAGGAAGATGAAAGCTGGCTTTACATGCTTCTATAGATCCAGTGTCTCAAAAGAAAATTTCAAACATATGCTTTGCTTTGTACGTGAGCATTGCAATTTAAACAAACCTTTTGAGAGATACATGACAGAACTGACTTTTATATCCAAATCTAGAATTTCAGTTATTGAAAAGGCAAAGGATTTTCAAGATTATTTTAGTATTTCCCTTTTGCACACACCCCAG